ATTCTAAGTCAAGAAGTTCTCCTGAGAGCAGATCCACACCTTCTAAGTCGTGTCCTGTGAACGCGATATCCATGACTTCGTCAACAGCGAAGTTGAAGAGGAAAGGTGAGCGCGGGCATCATTGTCCTCACACCGCTGGAGATATTAAAGGGCGACGACAGCTCGCCGTAAACCCTCACTCTGCCTGAGTTGCTCGCGTATAGTGCGCGTATAATATTTACATATTTCTCGTGCACCTACTTCGGCCTTGGCAACCGGGTAGTATCTCGTCCACTGACGAACCATGGACCTAAAACCACAACCATTCACCCGCTCTCTTACTGCTACCATGCTACTCACTCATGTCACTGTGCCAACTGCACTAGCACACGCCACCATTTTACCTAATTTTCCTTTGTACCATTCGTACCCATTTTTACCTGATTCTTCTATGGCGATCAACCCCATCTACACTGATGAACCTGTTCCCGTGACATCTGTCAACTCAACCACACAGTACTCAATAGAGAGCTGCCGGTCCCAAAGTCGCCCATCTTCGCTCCTGCAACCCGGAACGCAGTTCAAACTTGCAGCCTTCAACGTACGCACATTACTGCAGATCGGTCAGCAAGCTGGACTTGCACGCACGCTAGAGACCCTTGGGATTGCTATCTGCTGCCTGACTGAAACACGACTCCAGGACTCTAACTCGGTCTACCAGCTGGTGTCACCGCTCCACCCACGCACCCGCTTCCGTCTACACCTCTCTGGTGACGCCGAGTCTGCCGCATCTGGGCAAGCTGGTGTTGGAATCGCCCTCAGTGCTAGAGCCGAGACTGCTTTGGTTGATTGGATTCCGATCAATAGCCGCCTTTGTGCGATGAGGCCTCATGGCTCTTGTAAAGTTGGCAGACGTCGAGTCGAAAAGCGTGCTCTCTTCGTGATCTCTGCCTACGCGCCCACTGACTGTAGCTCGGACACCGTCAAAGACCAGTTTTACCAGAACCTTCATGAGCTGCTTCTAAGGGCTCCTAAAACAGACATCACTGTTTTGACAGGTGACGTCCACGCGCGTGTCGGTCGTCTGCTGCCATGCGAGCGCCACCTCGGGGGACCGCATGGAAATGATGATGTTCGCTCAGACAATGGAGAGAGACTACTCAGTCTGTGTGCTGATCATCAACTATTCCTCTCCAGCACTAGCTTTCTTCATCCTGGACGCCAGTGCGCCACTTGTCGCCCTCCATCATCAACTCAGCGCTGGACACATATTGACCACAAAGCCACAGCGTACACGACTGCCAACATGCGTCGAAACTGATCACGCACTGGTGTGTGCGATCGTTTGCATGCGTTTCGGTGATTTGCCTAGGTCAAAACACACCCGACTTAACACCTACAAGTTGGAGTACCCAATGGTGAAGAAGGAGTATCAACAAAGGCTTCGTGAAAATCTAGATCACTCTCCCACTCTGTAGGCTGATCAACACTGGTCACTTCTACAACAAGCCTTGTTGTCGGCAGGTACGTTCAGCTGTGGCCTCGCTCGTTCCAGTCCCAAAAGCTGGATCTTGGGAAGATCCTCGGAATTGGCTGCATCGCCGACGGGCACTGCTTGTTGTCACAGAGTACAACGAACACCACCGGCCTATTACGCAACAGCTGAAAGCAAGCCTTCGCTCTGATCGTGAACTTTGGCGGTAAAAACAAGCTGAAGAGATGGAAGCCGCTACATCAGCTGGTAACTTCTGCCGTCCATTTTGCATCATCAGGGCCACTGGTTGTAATTTCCACACTATCAGCTAGACGATTTGCGAATCAAGCGGCACGAAGATCACCAACCTTCATAGGCGATTGGGTCGCAGGGCACAGCATTTCGCGCTTCAATTCAACCACCCAACACAGCCATCTGTCGCACTTCCAGCCTCAATGTATGGTGCTTGGCCTGTCTCTACAGTCCCCAAATAAAGCAGAGGTCCGAGTTGCAATCCATTCATTGAAACTCCACAAGGCACCCGGCCGCGACAGCCTACCACCGGCTTTATTCAAAGATGGCGGGAGTGTACTTGTCAGCGAAATCCTATCGCTGTTCACGAATGTTTGGACTGAGGAGAAGGTTCCGAACTCATGGGGAGAATCGGTCATTGTTCCGATTCACAAGAAGGGCTCCCGCGCCGATTGCTGCAACTACCGTAGAATCTCGTTAATCTCTGTCGCATCCAAAATCTTCGTGTCGGTCCTACTTAGCAGGTTTTCAACGACTAGGGAGGAGTTTTCCCAAGAAGAACAAGCCGGATTTCGTCCAGACCGCGGCTGCATCGACCAAATCTTCACTTTTCGGCAAGTTCTCGAAGTTCGTCACATCCACCGGCGGCCAACAATCGTAGTGTTTTTGAACATCCAAACAGCATTTGATTCAGTAGATAGATCTACGTTGTGGAACTATTTACTTAAGAAAGATGTGTCCGACAAGTTTGTAACCATCCTGAAAGTACTTTACAGTCACACGTCGGGCAAATTCAGGGCTTACGGCACGCTCTCTTCTTCATTTGCTGTGACCAGCGGTATTCGCCAAGGTTTCCCTATTTCATCTTTCGTCTTCACTTTCGCCATCGAAGATGTCTAAAGATCACTGGAAGGTGGTGGACTACGCCAATGATATCGCCTTGCTGGGAAGCGACCCACAAACCGTCCAGAGCGCTTTGGACCGCTTAACGATGGAGGCTTCTAAGTATGGCTTATGCTTCACTCCGGGAAAATGTAAAACTCTGCTCCAGGACTGGCAGGTGCCTGAACCTGCGCTCACCATTGCTGGACATGTTCTGGAGCAAGTCCATTGTTTTACTTATCTAGGGAGTTGCATCACGGCTGGTGGCGGTGTTGGAGATGAAATCCCACAACGGATTGCAAAGGCCCGTCTTGCATTCATCAAACTGAGACACCTATGGCGTCGTCGTGATGTCAGTCTCAAGCTCAAGGGCAGGGTGTACAATGCTTCCATCCGTGCAGTATTCTTGTATGGCTGTGAGACTTGGCCTATTCGCTCAGAAGACATGAAGCGGCTATCAGTCTTCGACAATCGGTCTACGAAGGATTGCTGGGGTGTGGTGGTAACACCACGTAAGCAATGCAGATGTGCGAGACCGAGTGCTTGGAGCGAGTAGTGTCAGTATTCAGGACGTCATTCTCCGACATCGCATGCGTTGGCTCGGACACGTTTTGCGCATGCCAGCCCATCGCCTTCCACGTCGAGCGATATTTGCACTCCCAGGGAGCGATTGGAAAAAGTGCCGCGGTAGACACCCAACGACGTGGAGAAAGAGTATGAAGAAGGCTACCTCAAGTTTGGCGGCAGTCGGACTAGTCCGTCTTCCAGGTTGGGGACCACGCTGAATCGCAGTGATTGGAAACATTAGACGTCATGGCCCCCAACGGACATCAGTGGCGTCAATGTTGTTCTGTCATTAGATTTCACCTTTAATACACGCAAAAACTCACAAAACGGAAACAAAAAATTCAAAATGGCGTGTGCAGAATCAGAAAAATCGTTTTCCATTTTTTAATCGCAGTTCGTGTTTTTATCTTCTCCACTTTTATCTTCTGCCATGGTTCTGATGGCACATTATCTGTTACCAGACTGTGAATAAATGAATGTATCTCGTTCACACCTTTCTTTGGTAGACAACCCCAAGGGGCACTTTGATCAACCGAATCGAAGGCACATTTGATGCCGTGGAACACGACAAGGGTGGGCCGCCAATATATGTGACGGTGCTTCAACAGTTGACGCACAGTGAAGATGTGGTCAATGCAGCCACTACCCCGAAGCTACCCGGCTTGCTCTTCCTAAATCCGGTTTTCGCGAACGCCAGTCAATTTGTGGTACATTGCAGAGTCAAGTAATTTGGATGCGATCGGGATCCGAATGATTTTTTTATAATTGCCGCATTCCGGACGCGAGCCTCCTTAGAATGTCGGAACAATAACGGAGCAGCTCTAATCGATTGTGACAACCTCCTGCTCTCACAGTTTCACTAGTGATTCGTGTACATCAGCAACAAAAGCAGGGCCCCCGAATTTGACAAGGGCTGGATGAAGATCATCTGGTCCCGCGGCTTTATTCAACTTCAACAGTCCGATCTCACGTTCGACTTCTGAGCGAAAGGGCGGATCCAAAATGATAGCATAAGAAGCAGGGCGATCATTGGCCGGTGAGGAATCTAACGATTCCGGCCGATTAAGTTTCTTTTCAAAGTGCTCAGCCCAACTCTGCAAACGTTTTGACAAGTTTTGGATAGGCTGTCCAGTCACGTCACATATAGTTTCACTAACACCAGGTCTCCTGCTGCCCGTTTCCCGTATTAGACGGAAAAGCTCGATGGTTACTAGGGGCAGCAGCCACTTCCATCTCTGACGCATGATTTGACTACCAGGATTCGCGGTTTCTTCAGGCTGTCACGGAGCACTTTGCGAGTCTCATTGTGTTCGCTTCCAGCCGGAATGTGCCGACGAGCATCGATAAGTTTCAGAGACCGTGAATAGACCCAATGTCCGTGTTCGTTATTAGTCGTACTACATGAGGATTTGCCTGCTGCTAGTAAGGTCTGATGAACATGCGACCAGTGACCTTCTATTACCTCTAGTAATAGTGTACTTCGATACGCATTCAGAACAGCTGGCTTCGCCAGTTGACTGTTGTCAATGTGCTCACAGCGTTGTCGTGGACGTCCGCCAAAACGCATCCGCAGGTCAGCACACACAAGTGCATGGTCGGTGTCTACACATGTGCTCCTAACTATAACTGTACCCTTTGTAGCATTCTTTTTACCTCCGGGTAGCACCGACTTACCCTTGTCGCCACATCCTTGTGTCCCTTTTTCGTAATGTCACATGTACCGGACTTATGGACTTGTGTTCTGCGAATACACTGCCTCGCAACCTGCGTTCTCATTCCCACTTGCGGTGGTTGGCTTGCCTTTGCCGTAATTGCACTTTAGGGTGAACTTCGCCTCCCCTTTTCAGCTCTTGGACCTACCCTCACTCCCACGGTAGTCTTTGCGCACTACAGTGATGTTGGGTCGCTTCGGGGTCTCTCGTCTCTGCCGGCTCACTCTGGCAGTTGCAAGGTCACAACCAAATCGCACATCAACATGGTATAGTTCGAAACCTAGGTAAGCAAGGTGTACCGTTACTTTTAATGCCGTCGGAATAAAACAGAATCGCTTCATCCGTTTCCCTTACCAGCTGCTTTTTGTTAATTATCTGCGTATTATTTCTTCGCGATTAGCTAGAATGCCTTCAGTACTGTTCCTTATTACTTTACTTTAGGTGTTATCGTCAGAAAGGACACCGGTTCCAATCATGTCTGAACTTGCAGTTTAAATCCTTCGATGTACTTTCGCTATGCTGCACTCTGTAGCACGAGAAAAGAAGTTTTCCTACCATTGTAGAAATAAATATTTACGCACATCTGGATTACTGTGTTCATGTTAAGGCACCGTGTCTCCGCAGTGACGTTATTTGTATAGGAATTATTCGCAAACGCAACCAGGATAATTGGACGTCAACGTTTAAAGTCATATGATGACATTCTACGGAGTTTAGGATTCATTATAGATTATACACGTTGGCTGCAGGTGGAAAAAGCCTCAGATATTGTGCCGCATTAAGATCATTTTCCTTAGAACCTCAAGCTCACGGCATGTTCTAATACACAAGTTGAGTTACTTTTTCTGGAAGATCTAACCAGGTATTCACTGAATACATGATACAATGACCTCCTAATGCTTAGATTGTGGTAAGAAGGTCACTTCTCGCTCGAGGACCGTACATTGTATTTACTGCGATAGGTGGATGTAGATTTCATGGCGTAACATTGGTGCGGATCTGCAAGGCCCCCTGCAAAGGACCATTTTCTCGATTGTCAGCTTTATTTATGACCTATGTCGGTCTGTAATGTTTTACCTTTATCGGCTTCTACCCCAAACACTCCTACGGCTAATCAAAGTTGTTTTCTCAGTTTCATCTACGAAACGACTATCGATTAATCAGCATTACACTGAGCGAAAGAAAATGACTTATGCAGCTGTAGCGAGCAGTAGTGTTACGCCAGAGTTCGTGAGTAAATACGTGTGTGAAGAGGAAAAGGGTTGGAAAACAAAAGTTTACGACAAATTTTCCGCCTTTCCAGTTGAAACTAGTTCTCCACAGTGTGGGTCAGTTTGTGAATAAATTAAAACAAATCCTCACCCTGAAAATCCGCATCGCCTTGAGGAAGGCCGATTTCCCTCACGTGAACGCTTTTTCAGATGGTCGAATTAAAATGAGTCATGTCCTCGATGAATTACGAAACCGCTTGGCAGATAATAAAAGCATTCTTCATATTAGGGATTTTCGAGTGATTCAAAGAACCCCGAGACCTCAGTGGAGCCCATTATTCGATCTACCCGCGCGCTGAGAATCAGGAGTGGATTATGACTAATATTCGCCCATGTGCTTAGTTTGAGCAACCGGCTGGATGAGATTCTACTTCTGTAACCGGAAGTAAGTATCTAATGAAGAGCGGATGAACAACCTTGTTGATCACTGGCTTCTATGTGGACTGCTGCTGAACACTAAGAAGTCGTATGAGCCACACACCTGTCAACGGTCTCTTACTCTGCGGTTGGTCAAACTTTCCAAAAACCTTTTCAGACCTCTGTTCTGCCATACTTGGGTAGTTTGCTTCTAACTGAATCACGGGGAATGCTGATCTTTAGCAGTCCAAAAATCCCATTTATTAGAATGAATCAAGGGAGGCAGAATCTGAGTAAAGAATTCTTTTCCTTAATTCCCATCATACTCAAACATTAAATGATGATGACAACGTGCTAAATGTGCCGGATTGGGCTGCGTATTGATCAGAATGTTCAATTCCAACAGGAACAAATCATTAAATCACAAGCTCCTTGAGGGTGGCAAATTATGCACGTAATGCATGTAATGTTTGAGTCTAATGAGAATTACCGAAAATAATTCTTTGCTCAGGTTCTCCCTCGATTCATTCTAATAAATGGTAGTTTGCTACTACTTGAAAGTCGTGTTACCGGCTCCATACGGCTTGCGATACACGTTAATCGCTCCGCTGCCTTGTGGATCAGGCTCAAGACTCCGGGTGGGGTCCCGCAAGTCAACCCCCTTTCTCGGTCTAGGCAACCGGGAAGCTATCTGCCCCCACAGCACATGAACATGTACCTACGTAACTCTGCTCCTTATCTACGTTCTTTACCTTCGCTTTCCTTAGCCGAGGTGCTAGCGACCGGCTCCGCTTTACCACGCCCTAACGCACCACCTATATGTTTTGTTTCACGTTTGTTAACTCCCCTCGGATACCAGGTCTACGACAACGTGCCGCTTCGTGAGACAGTTCTAATAGTGCCGATGAGCAGCTCAAGACCGTCCTTGTGCCACGCAATCGCGAAGACAGGATCTTTTTAGCCCCCGTTCACAATTCAAGTCGGCCGCCTTCAATGTCCGGACGCTCATGCAGTTAGGGTCGCAGGAAGCCCTAGCTCGCACTTTGGAAACCCTCTCCATCGACGTGAATTGCCTCGCTGAGGACCCGGTTGCAGGGCTCCAGTACAACCCTATGAATTCCATCACCTGCATCCTCCCACAGTATGTTCACAATACGCTCAACCGGAGACGCAACTGCTGTAGCCGCGGGTTTGGCCGGTGTGAGAATTGCGTTAAGCGCGCACGCAGAAACTGCGGCACTTGATTGCATCCCAGTTAATAGCTGGCTCTGTGCGATTCGGCTGGAAAGCTCTGTGCGATGTCCAGCCGCCAAGCTACCAAACGCTGCTTGTTTGTCGTAGCGTCGTATGCTCTCACGAATTGCAGCCCGAACTCAGCTAAAAACGAGTTCTACCGTCTACTCTTCGATCTTTTCCGTAGGAAGCGCTGCATGGATGTCGTGGTGATCGCTGGGGACTTAAACGCACAGATTGGTAGGCTGGATGCTGACGAACGCGACCTCGGTGATCTGCAGGGCCATGGTACTCGTATGACGGATAATGGAGAACGACTTCTACAGCTCTGTGCTGGTCATGGTTTATTTCTTTTGAGCGCGTCATCAGACGACCTTCGCCTGGACAGCTGTGGACGAAGATTGACCACATCGCCATCAGTTACCGTTGGCAAGGCTGTGTAACAGACCGCATATCAATTTGGAGTACTTGTCTTATCCCTGATCACGCACTTGTATGTATGCTAAGGTTGCCCTTCGCTTTGGTGGCACCCAACAGCGTCCTGGGAAACGGATCGACGTAGCCAAACTTGTCACTCCAAATATTCTTAGTGCCTTCTAATCTGAAGAGTCCTCTACTCCCAGGTGTTAAGGCGCATTGGCCACGTATCCGGAGTGCCGTACACAACCGCCAGCGTCATCTGCACTTTCACTAAGCACACCTTCAACCGATGGATTTCCACTCGATCCCCTCAATTGATGGAAGACAGCCGGATAATTCCGGCTGGTGCTTAGTATAACTCATTGCACCAACACCGAACTCAAACAGCTCCTAAAGAAAGATTGTGAAGCTTGGTGGACACAGCGTGTCATCGAAATGAAATATGCCTCATCCTCAGGGAACTTCTATAGACACATCCAGTCTACTGGCGGCAAGAAACCAGCTATAAGCGAAATGATATGTGAATCCAGTGGTGAGCCAATTCACAACTACCAGCGCCGACTTTTACGTTGGACAGAGCACTTAGAATAACACTTCAATTGGTCATTTTTGCCTTCGAGTTACTACTTTCTTATCCACGGTGCTCCCTGGTGTGTAAGCACCTCTGCCATCTGAGGCCGAGTTTGCCTGTGAGTTTTTACTTCTGAAACGCCACAAATCTCCCGGCCTGACGAACTGCCTCTGGCTCCTTTTAAGGATGGGGTCCGTCTCTCCTTTCCGAACTGACCACACTCCTTCAAGAGATTTGGGCCACAGAAGTCATCCTATCTGATTGGCACTTGGCGGACATCGTGCCAATCTTCAAAAGAGGTGTCCGAACGGATTGCTTAAACTACCGGGGGATCGGCGTTGCGTCCAAAGTGCTAGCCCTGCTTTTACGGAAGCTCAATCGAGTAGGCGAACAGCACATACGTGCAGAACGCAACTACAAGGGGAGCAGTGTAACAAATTAGATTAAGTGCCCTCTAGTTATCGCAACAATTGTTCACGTTAAGTATTTAGGGTTGCCACAGAATCACTTTTCAATAACAGCGCCACCGATAAGTTGAGAAACAAACTTGCGAATAGCAAATAGAATCGGGCTTCTAAACCCTTCCGTTAGAGAGCAGAATCATAGAAAGAAGTTGAATGAAAAAGTCATCATAAAGCGTCACCGGATTCGCGACTTGGCCATGTAAACACCGTGCATACTAATGTGACTCATCCAGAGACCATCTAGGATTACGACGTACCATTTAGCCCGTTTTGTCACTTATTCCATGTTTACCGTGCAATTGGTTTGTCATCCTGAGACTTGGCTCATCTGAACTTACATGTCATTGTACCTTCTCAACGGGCATAAGAAGAACATGACCAAGTTAACATAGATAGTTTAAGTGCAGCAACTAGCTGCGTGAAGCATTTCTCATCAAACACCTTATGAAGAGCAGCACAACGCTGCTGAGATAACGGTTCCGTTTGGTTCAGTGTAAACTAAATCCGTGTGCCGAAGTGCGGTGGTGCAGTTTAGTTCAGTAAAATTGCTATGATTCGAGCACCGAGGTGCGGCAGATCCAATTTCCATGACAAGTCGCCAGATTAATAATAAATAACACTGATAAAATGAAGTTGAACACGAAGAAAGTGGAACCGGAAAAGTATGTCAAACTAATCGGGATGGAAAATTAACGGAAGTCGATTTACGGGAGCGCCAGTGACTGCGAGACTGCGCGATGTTTGATAGAGTCTTCAAACACCGATGTAGATCATTCAAAGCACCCATCCACGAAGACGGTACCAGCCTGATCAAGTCTCAGTCATCTGTATACCTTTATGCCACATCATGGATTGGCCACCTCGCGGTTTCGCCCAACTTGGTGCAGGAACGGCGTATAGTGTACGCCGAGGAAGTCGGGCAACAGGCATACAGGGGACATAACCTAGCCAACGCAACCTATGGAGGA